GCGGCATGTGGGATCTTCCCAGACCGGGGCACGAACCCGTGTCCCCTGCATCGGCAGGCGGACTTTCAGCCACTGCGCCACCAGGGAAGCCCCCATTTATTATTTTTAAAAAATGAACTAGAATATACTCTATATGTCAAATGTCGCATATAAAATGAATCATTTCTAAATAGCTAACTCATCAAGATTTGCCTATTCTGTGATTTTCTTTGAATTGTTTTCCAGGCATCCACACGAACAATCACCTTATTTTAGACACACACACACACACACACACACACACACACACACACACACATTTTATATTTAGGGTTTACTGTGTGCCAGGACTGTGCTAAGTGTTTTATAAATGTTTTGCTACATAATACTCAAGACATCCTTCTGAGGTGTTATTGTCAGCATTTCACAGGAGAGGGAACTGAGAGAAGGGTAGGAAACTTCCAGAAAGTCACACAGTTGGTAAGGAATGGAATTAGGACTTGAGCCAAAGCCCATACTCTAATCCACCATGCTCTACTAGCATCAATACAATGCAGAAATGGGATCCTTGATGAAATTTTTGGCAAGCATATGCATTATCTTACAGGGCAATCCCACTCCTGGTATACTGTATTTCAACTTCCTGGATTTACAGTAGACATGCTGCCAAAAGCGTTTCTCAGACCCATTTTTTACAGTTATATTGATAACATCTCACTAAAGACAGATGCTTCTTAATCATATTCATCCAGTCCCCGAATTTCTCTAATTAACTGTACTAACTAATGTCTCTGTTTTTACTGAACTAAAAGCCTTTGCAATTAAACCCAGTGGTTTTAAAATTGACATTTGGCATAAGTGAATTATCAGCAAAGCCAATGTGATGTGAAAAGCATACATTTTAATTTGAATGAGCAGTCGTCCTTTTCTAGATTCACCCAAAGTATATATGGAAGTGTCTCATTATGATCTGGTTCATATTAGACTGAGATCTGAAAACATGTCACAGACATAAGATTTATGTAAGGAGTGTGACTCAGCTCCTTTTTCTTTCTGATTGCCTTTATGATCCTCACAGGTACATGAGTCTTATTGGAGCTTGGCAGTGGAACATATTCTAATTATATTCAAGAAGCACAGACTTATCGACCAGCTTCTCTTTATCAGGCACTGGAAGGGACACCAAGATAAATAAGCTGCCCTTGGCCTTAAGAAGCCTCTCCTGTGTTGTCATATGATAGTCAGGGGCCGTGAGATGAAACTTTATAAAGCAAGTAACAAACATTCCTTGGAAAAGACTACAATGGGCAATTAGATAATTGCATCTAAATAGATTTTAGATGCTCTTGAACATATCCACAGCTTTGGGTGAATTGTTTTATTAATGCTCTTTCACTTTTTGCCTTGACTGGCAGGAAGCCCAGAGCCAAAGTTGCTGTGTGGATTTAGTAACCCTCTAGGCCCCTATATCATGCATAGATTGCTACATGCTAATCATCCCCCCAGGGTTGTCTTCAATCTGTTTTTTCAGAACCTGGTTTTGTAATTAATAAGTTACCATTTTATTGTATTAAGTGTAATTTGTGGGGCACCTTGGATCTTTTGTGGAATAAGACCATGTAAATATTTAATTTGTTCAGAGAGTCATCGAAAAAGTGACTTAATTATTTTTTACTTGTATAGCATTGATATTAGGGGCTAGAGTATAGTAGACTCAGTTAGGACTTTTTGGTTATAAGCAACAGAATCCAAGCTCACAGGCTTATGCAAAAAGAGGAAGTGATTGGGTCATGTAACCGAAAGGTTCACAGCTCCTTACTTCAGGAGCAATTGGATCCAGGTGCTTACATGATTTCTTCATGAAGTTCTCTCTTCGTCTCTTGGCTTGCCTTGCTCTGGGCGGCATCATCCTCAGGCCCCTGGCACCTCCAGGTTTGCCTCATCCTTATTACTTACAGTCTCATGGATCCAGAGTGCCTTTTTTGTGTCATTCCAGTCAAAATCCTGGATTAGTTTTCATTGAACCCTCTTGGATCACATGCCCATTTCTGGACCAGTAACTGTGGTCGAGGATATGAAATATCCCAGTCAACTAAGTCTGGCTGAGATGCCCACTCCTGGAACCTGAGTGGGACAACTGCACCCAAAGCACATGAACTGATTGGAGAGGAGGAGGTGTTTCCCCAAGGAGAATTGTGGTGCTGACAAGGAAGAAGGGAGAATGGATACTAAGAATGAAAACAACAGCTTTCCATTCTGTCAGCGTTGTGGGTCTAATTAGCTAAATGAATCATGGCATGAGTGAATGGGAAGTAAGAGATATGGTCAGAACCCATACGAGTCTAAGAGTAGAGGGGTAATGGGAAAGTATCCCCTGCAAGGGACAAGGCATGACTATCAAGGAACAGTGACATGACCTTGGTTTCAGGCCTGTGGATCTCTTCTTATTTATGAAGTTGTTGTTAAGCAGCCCTCAAGAATGGTCACACTTTTCTTAGCTATAAAAAAAAAAAAAGAGTACAGTAAAGAAAACACAAATAAATGGAAAGACATTCTGTGCTCATGAATTGGAAGACTTAGTATTGTTATGATGTCAAATACTACCCAGAATGATCCCTATGCAATCCCTATCAAAATTCCAGTGATGTTTTTTGCAGAAATAGAAAAATCCGTCCTAAAATTCACCTGAAATATCAAGGGACCTCAAATAGCCGAAACAATCTTGAAAGAGGAAAACAAAGTTGGAGGTCTCACACTTCCTGATTTCAAAACTTAGTGCAAAACTATGGTAATCAAAGCAGTATGGTACTGGCATAAAGACAGACGTATGGACCAATGGAACAGAATAGAGGGCCCAGAAATAAACCCTTACATATATGGTCAAATGATTTTTGATGAGACCGTTTGGTGGGGGGAAGGGACAGTCTTTTCAACCAGTACTACTAGGAAACTGGATATCCACAAGCAAAAGAATGAAGTTGGATCCTCACCTAACACCGTATACAAAAGTTAACTCAAAACGGATCAAAGACCTAAATGTAGGAGCTAAAACTGTAGGACTTTTAGAAGCAAATAGGGGAAAAAAGCTTCATGACATTGGATTTGGCAGTGATTTGTTGATATGACACCAAAAGCACAGGTAACAAAGGAAAAAATAAATAAGTTAGATGTCATCAAAATTAAAAACTTTTGTGGCTCAAAGGACATAATCAAAAGGCAACCCACAGAATGGGAGAAAATATTTTCTAATCATGTATGTATAGGGGGTTAATATCTAGACTATGTAAAGAACTCCTACAGCTCAGCAAGAAAAAAACCGAACAACCCAAGTAAGAAATGGGCAAAGGACTTGAATAGACATTTCTCCAAAGACGATATACGGGTAACCAATAAGGACATGAAGTGGTGCCTTGACGTGACTAATCATTAGGGAAATGCAAATAAAAACCACGAAATACCACTCACACTTATTGAGGATGGCTATTATATAAAAAAAGAGAGAATAATAAGCATTGGTAGGGAGAAATTGGAACTCTTGTGCACTGCTCGTGGACGTGTCAAATGGTGCAGCTGCTGTGGAAAACGGTATGGCGTTCCCTCAAAAAACATAGAATTACCATATGGTCCAACAGTTCAATTTCTGGGTATATACCCAAGAAACCAGGGACTTGAACAGATATTGGAATACCGGTGTTCATAGCAGCATTATTCACAACAACCAAAAGGTGGAAGCAACCTAAGTGTCCATCCATGGGTGAATGGATAAGTCAATGTGGTATATACATGCGATGGAATATTATTAATCCTTAAAAAGGAGGGAAATTCTGGCACAGGCTGCAACATGAATGTACCTTGAGACACCATGCTAAGTGAAAGAAGCCAGTCACAAAAGGTCAAATACTGTATGATTCCACTTATAAGAAGTATTTAGTTTTGTCAAGTTAATAGGAGAGAAAATAGAATGGTGGTTTCTAGGAGCTAGGAAGAGGAAGAAATGGGGCGTTATTTAGTAGGTACAGAGTTTCAGTTTGGGATGATGAAAAAGTTTTGGAGATGGATGGTGGTGACAGTTGCACAATAATGCGAATGTACTTAATGCCACTGAACTGTACACCTTAAATGGTTAAAATGTAATGTGTATTTTACCACGAAGAAGTATGAAACTAATATAATGTTGTATGTCAATGTTGTCTCCTCAATAAAAAATTCTCATCTGAAAAAATGTATAATTACCTGGTCGAGTGTAGTATGTACAGAGATACTATATTGCAAGCTCTTTGGGATCCAGTGAGATTTAGTTTTGTTGAAAAGCAAAAAAATAGAGTGTTCAGAATAGAGATGAAGGTTGCAAAGTTATTATTTTTTTTAGGTGACAGTGCAGTGAGGTCTTTTGAATTATTCAGAAAGAAGTGCCTTTTTTCTTGGTACCTTGGGAGAGGCATGAATATCTGTGGCTAAACCACATTCCAGAAATACTGTTGGAGAGGAAGTAAGAGTTGACCAGAAAAGTTGACTCCGTATATCATTAATCATGGGACTCTAGCTACTGTGTTAGAGAATTTAAAAGGAACTTCCACTTATGGGAACAAGTTTGAAATAACATGAAGGAGCTATTCTTGACGGTCTTATTCAAAGTAAGGTTTAAAAGGAACGTTGCAGAGATATTTATGTCTGAGCACACAAAGGTCTGGGACAGACTGGGTATCAGTTTCTGGCAGAAAGAGAGGACACATTCAAATGAAGATAATTTGAGGAAAGTCCAATGAAAAGGACTTTATAGAAGTGTGGGCGGGCTCTAGGGAAACCACAGGGACAGTGCAGCTGCCAAGGCTGTGACAGTTGGGGCTGATGCGGTGAGAGGAGCCAGCAGCTGTGGGAAGCCTGAGGCCAGAGCTGCCCAACATGAGCTGTGACCCCACGGGAGGGAGTCCCTGACACCAGCTCTCTGACCTCTCCTCCTCCTCTCCCACATCCTCCTGAGCTCCCTGCAGCTGAAGCCAGGGGGCCAAGGAGCCCATTGACGTGGTCCACAGGGGTCTGCCTCTGGGGGCGCTGAGCAGAATGAGGGCAGGGTGGCAAATGGATCTGGAGGGGGAAGGGGCAGACGCCAGCACAGAAGCCCATAAAGAGTGTCTCACCAGGCGGAATGCCTTCCTACCGCATCTGTTTTCCAAATCTCATCTGTGGGATATTTTTATGTATACATTGACCTATAAAAGTCTCATTTCCTCATAACTAAAAAACTGACTTAGACAAGATTCGAGAAGAAAACCACACCATCTCATAGTAATATTAACATGTTTTACATTGAATTAACAGACCACAAGGAAATGGAATCTCTCTCTAAAGAAGCTGTTTTCTATTTCTGAATTCTTTTTGTCATCAGGTTCGGTCACGCTGTCCATGACTAGGTCGATGATAGATGGTGTGCATTCCCTGTCCTTTCAACTTTAAAACCCCCATAAGTTTGACTCAGGCTTTCTCTGTCTGAGCATTTGAGTCCTCCTTAAATTTACCATTCCTATGCTCTATTGTGTATTTTCAGAACCATAAAAGTAGCCTGAGACCATTTAGCCCCTGGAAAAGATACACACACCAGTGGTTAAAACCCGAAGTCAGACTGCCTGGGTTGGAATCCTGTCTCTGTCACTTATTAGCTGTGTGACCTTGGGCAAGTCCCTTGATCATTCTGGGCTTCAGTTTCCTCCTCTGTAAAAGGGAGTCATAACAGGATACACCTCCTAGGGTTGCGGTGAGGATTAAATGAGATCATGTGCCCTTAGCACTATGTCTGGCATGTAAGCAAGCAATCTGTAAGTGACAACTATTGTTATTCTTATCTCTTCCTTGCTCTCTTCCCACCTCCCTTTCATCCCTAACCTCAACTTCCCCTTAAACTTCGCCTCCCACGGCCTCCATGAAACAGACCCTCATCTTATTTGGCATGTCTCCCTCCCCTTTCCTCCTGTGTCGATTCAGATGGTGAGCACGTCCAACGCCTCCCAGACAGTCACCTTGGTGTACGTGGTGGGCAATCGAAGCTCCTTCCTCAACGGCACCGTGGCCAGCAGCCTCCTCCGCCAGCTCTCCGCTGAGCTGGTGGGGTTCTACCTCACCTACCCGCCGCTCACCATCGCCGAACGTGAGTATGTCCACGTCCTACAGGGACTCTGCCATCTTCTCCGGGGCCTTGTCTGTTTAGCAAACCTCCATGGTGCCAGGCCACATGCTAACTCTTTTGTCTTTATATCACAACCGAAATATGTGATCAATGGGGATTGAATTGATGAAAACTTTATTACACGTTGAAAAAAGCACTAGGTGCTTTTACCCGTCACTTATCTCGTATCTCATTTAATCCTCACAACTACCCTATAAGGTAGGTGCAAAATTAACCCGATTTTGCAGATGGGAAAACTGAAACTCCAAGAGTTTTAACAAGATGCCTACTCTGACATAGCTAGCGAGACATGGAACCCGGGGTTTGAACCCAAGCAGTCTGCCTTCTGAGCTTATAACACTGCCTGGTATGGCATGTGTCCTCGTGGCAATCTGGGTTGCTATGGTTTCCTCCACTTCTGCCATCAGCAAATGTTCCTGGGCCTACAGCCCTTGCCCAGGCTATAGATATTATAATGCAACTCATGTGCAGTCAGCATCGTGATTTCACTTGATGAAGTCCCCATAGGCTTGTGGCCTCATCTTCCTCTAATGCTTCAGTTACATAATCCTCATTACCATGCAGCAGGCATAGACTTGGAAGACGATGCAGCCTACATTTTGTACCCAAACATTTACTTGGTAGCCAAAGGAAGTAAAGATCTATGCTCTTAAATTTAATCATTGGTACATTTCTAAAGGTCACTGGGCGAGTTTTTTTTTAAACATGTATTAGCAAAATTGTTTCTATTTCCTTCTTTTATATATTGTAGATAAGTGAGATAATGTGTGTGAATGTACTTCTTAGCACACAGTAGACACTCAGAGTTTTTTTTTAATGTTTGTTTAATGGCAAGCTTTTGTGACTTTCCGTATACTAGGGG